CTGCTGCTGGACTGTTTGTTAATGAATGAATGTGACCGATTCGTCCTCGTATCAAACTTCTACATTTATTACTGTGAAAAAAGAAAAACAAAAATGTACAGAGATTAGAAACATTTATTGCCAGTGCTACTTACTCTTATCCTGCTTCTTGGCAGCATGATTAGATCATTCTGATTGAAATCCTAAAGTGGCTCCCTACCAGAGGCCAACAGGTTGACTCGGCTCCTGTGGCTGAATGCGCCTCCTGTGTTGTGTTCAGAGACTCCTCTGTCGCTGGCAGTGCAGTGTGAGCCAGGTGGAGGAGAGGCCATCCGGGTCCTGGTGGACGGAGGCGCTCACATCGACTTCCGTTCCAAAGACGGACTCACGCCGCTTCACAAGGCTGTTCGAGGCCACCGCCATACAGCCCTGCTGGTAAACACTCACTCCGTCTCCATCCTGCTCCCAGAAAACTGCCACGTCAGAGGCACGGCGCAGTTACACTGGAAAAAATAAAACAATTTATGACTTATTGTCAACATGTTACGCATGCATTTATAACTGTTAATGTTCCAGACTAAATATTTATTTCACAACCTAAATATTTAATAACTAAGCAATTATTTTTCAAATTAAATATTTAGTTAGGAGGTTAAATACTTTTGCTAGGTAACTATATACTTAGCAATTAAGCTAAAAATGTAGCTTACTCAGGTTGTCAGCTAAACATTTAGCTTACTGACTTAATATTTATTGTGAAAGCTAAATATTTGGTTTAAAAACAATATTTAGCTTTCAGTTATAAATATATAGCTTATTTGCTAACTATTTGTTAGCAAGCTAAATATTTGGCTTGTTTTCTAAATATTTGGTTTGAAAATTAAATTTATTCATTTGGAAAATAAACATTTACTTTGGAACTAAAGTTTGGAAAACAAACTAAATATTTATTTTTCATATCAAATATTTAGCTTCCCAGGTTATTTTTTAGCACACAAGGTAAGTATTAATTTCACTACCTAAATATTTAGCTAGCAGCTTAAATATTTAGTTAGCAAGCTAAATACTTGTTTGTTTGTTTTTTGGGGGGGTTTTTTGCAAAATTTTTGGTTTTCAAAATAAACGTAGTTTCCAAACTAAACATTTTATTGTTAAACATTTGGATGGGAACTAAGTATTTAGTTTATAATTAGCTTGTGAATACATTTTTGTGATTTGGACCTCTGACATTATAAATGTATGAACAACATGATGAAAACATTAACAAAATGAACATTTATCTTTTCTCTGACAGGCTAAATAATTCAAAAATACTGCTGTTCATTTTTTACAGTGTAACTTTACAAATGGCACCCCAAACAGAAGAGACAAGTTTTTACTTCTGAAGCGTCAGAAACAAGATTTATCCTCATTTGTACCTCATGATAAAATCCACATGATTCAGAATGAAGCTGCTTGTTTTCAGAGCCTTTTGGACCCAAACTGGACCCAACAAATCTACTAATGCAGAAAAATGAGAAACAAAAAAAATCCAATGATTACCAATCAGTTTAGTTTGTTTATAGTTTATTAAAAAAAATTTGTAATGCACATTTATTCTAAACATTACTGCAGTTCATTAAATAAACTCAAATAATAGATTAATTTCTTATTCATTATGTCTTTACCAAGCATGTTTTTATTTTCTCATACTAAATCAATTTAACATAATATGTAATACTAATTAATCAATACTCACATATATAAAGGCTCATTTAAATAAATCTGGAAATGCAAACATTAGATGACACATGATGACTCGTAAAATATTTAATTTAAGCAGATTTAGGGTGAATTTGATGAGCGATATCAACAGTTTAAATTGTTTCATGATGAACAGAAACAGGAAATATTAAGTAGTTAATATTTAAATTTACCACTTAATAATTTTCAGTGTTATTTATTCATTTAACATTTAAATGTGTGTCTTACATGCTCCTGGTTTTATCTTCTTNCAAGCGTCGTGTTAAATCATCATCGTNANCTCCCTCGTCTCTTCCTGCAGGTCCTGCTCTCTCTGGGTGCGTCTCCAGACTACAAGGACCGGCGGGGGCTGACCCCGCTCTACCACACTGTGCTAACAGGGGGCGACACCTCCTGCTGTGAAACGCTGCTGTACCACCGCGCCAAGCTGGGCATCAGGGACGAGAACGGCTGGGATGAGACGCATCAGGTGCGTTCAGGCGGCCCGGACCGGAGCAGAGGGAGGTTATCGGCTCCATTTGGAGGAAACCGAGACGTTTGAGTTCAGATCTGCTCTGTGTTCCAGTTTGTCTCCATCTTTCCTTCATCCTTCATTCCAACCATCCGTCCGCTCTGATCAGGAAACGACAGCAAGCAGAAAGGTAGACGCCATCTTCATCAGCATCTTCCTCATCATTATCCATCCGTCCATCTGGGAACCTAACTGTCATCCTGACTCGTTTCTCCAGAGACTTGTTCTGGATGTTGTTGTTGTTTTTGGTTGAGAAGGGTCTCCAGTAGCAGTCAGTCCCACAGTGAATCTGAAAAGGCTTCTGCCTGCAGACTGATGCCATACACGACTATCATGACAGCTCAGTATTCTACATTGACATCTCCTGGATGACCCCATCCAGGAGATCCTTTGCTTTTGCTGCTCCTCCTCAAATGTCTGTCTGTGTGAAATCAACACCTCGTTAAGGCGGTTACTCATCATATCAGACTGACTGTAAAAACACACAAAAGTAAGAGAAAAATTCCCTCCAACTGGAAATTATTGTGTAAAAATAAAATTCCATAAAAGGAACAAACCAGATAATCCAACAGGTAGATTACAACCGTTCCTGTTTTCTGTGTTTCTGATTTCCTCCTCTTGGTGTTTCCTCCGGTTCTGTTTCCCGATCCTGACGGCGCGAAGGCCTGCCAAAACGGGAACTCGCAGCATCTGGAGCACCTGCTCTTCTACGGGGCGGATTCCTCCTCCCAGAACGCTTCTGGAAACACTGCCTTGCACATCTGTGCTTTATACAACAAGGTACTCTGTTCCAACAATAAACAGTGTTCAGGTAAAAAGTACATGTTCAATTAAGAAAACAAAATGGTGTTCAATTAAAGAAATGAAAGTGTTCAGTTCAGAAACAAAGCAACACATGAAGCTGATTAGCATACAGACAAATTTCATGTTAATTGTGTGAAAAATTTAACTTTTTTCATTTAAATATTCCTTCATGTTTTATTTTTATTCCTTGTTCTTTTTGTGAATTATAAATGTATTTCTCAGCCTGAATTTTAATCTGCCATGTTCGTTTTAGGAAAGCTGTGCACGAATCCTGCTGTACCGAGGAGCCAGTAAAGACATGAAGAACAACAGCGGCCAGACTCCGTTCCAGGTGAACTGGAAATGAACGAACAGTTCATCAGATAACGAACTGTTCATCAGCAGGAAGGTTTACGAGGATAAAACCGGGAAGAGTGAGGCCTGGTGACGTCTGGCCAACAAATCTACTAATGCAGAAAAATGAGAAACAAAAAAAATCCAATGATTACCAATCAGTTTAGTTTGGTTATAGTTTATTAAAAATGTTTTTATAATGCACATTTATTCTAAACATTACTGCAGTTCATTAAATAAACTCAAATAATAGATTAATTTCTTATTCATTATGTCTTTACCAAGCATGTTTTTATTTTCTCATACTAAATCAATTTAACATAATATGTAATACTAATTAATCAATACTCACATATATAAAGGCTCATTTAAATAAATCTGGAAATGCAAACATTAGATGACACATGATGACTCGTAAAATATTTAATTTAAGCAGATTTAGGGTGAATTTGATGAGCGATATCAACAGTTTAAATTGTTTCATGATGAACAGAAACAGGAAATATTAAGTAATTAATATTTAAATTTACCACTTAATAATTTTCAGTGTTATTTATTCATTTAACATTTAAATGTGTGTCTTTTTGACACATTACTGGCACATTAAAATAAGTATCTAAAAAATTATTCAGTGTTTTTTTTCCTTCATAGTTTTATTTAAATTACCAATTAAATAAACATTTACTGATGTATTTTTTGGAGGAGGTGCAGGGGAATTCATGTTTTTATTTACCTTAATATCCTGGCTGATGGTCATTGTAAAAGGTAAAATATTAGCTCAGTTATATCTAATTTTAATTTCTGTTCTAAATAATAATAAAAAAAGTTATCAATAAATTACCTAAAGTAAAATAAATGGCAGAAAATGGCAGCCAGTCGTGTGCAGAAAAATATTTCACCTTATAAAACTGCATTTTATTTCATAATTAAAGAAAATAGTAATTTGAAACTGGATGATCAGCATCAACTGCTGTTCTGAGTTTAATGTTTTTAAATTTGTTTTCTGGTAGTTTGGCAGCAAGTTGTTTTTTTTTTACGTATTTCATGTTTTATTTATTGCTTTGACCAGGTGGCTGTTATGTCTGGGCATTTTGAATTGGGGGAGATTATAAAAAACCACCGGGACACAGATGTGGGTAAGTGCTGCTAACATCTGTTTACGATGATCAAATCTTTAATTTGCTTCCATGCAGCATAAAGTAGAATATTATTGTAATATTCTACTTTATGGCCTCTCTTCCTCACACTTTTTGAAGGTTTTTGGTTGTGGTGTTTTGGATTTAGTCTGTTTTTCCTCTCAGTTTCTGTTCTGTCCTTCACCTTGTTGAACTCACCTGATGAATGGAGAACAAAAATGTTAGGAAAGAAGTTCTGACTTAAAACAGAAATTCGTCTCCATGGCTGCAGGGATCTGTGACGATCTGTTGGATGTTTTCCTCCTAGTTCCCTTTGTGGAGTCTCCAAAGTACGCCCCCCAGAGGAGAGAGAGCACCCGGACGCTGGTGGTGCCCCACCCCCACCCGTTTCTGCGGGCCAACAGCGACAGCAGCATGAATCTGCCGGACTGGATGGCCGTCCCCAACGCGCCGAGCACCAACATCGTTTCTGTGCAGGTATCGATCGCTGACACTATGACGGCACGTGACAGGAAAAAAAAAAGAGTTTTCTGCTGAAAGAAAAGAGTTTGAGATTAATCTCAGAAATATTCTAGAAGAAAAGGTCAAATTTGTGTTGAGAAACTAAGAAATTTTGAGATAAATCTCAGAGATTTTCGAGAAAAAACCCTGAAATTTCTGACATTTAGAAATTGAAGATGTTCAACTTTTGAAATTGATTCACATATTTTATTATTTTCATTCATTGGTTATTTTTCTATTCAGCAACCTAAAAGCTCCTTCTTTTACCACATTTTTTAAAAATATGTCTACATTTGATAATGCGACAAAATGACAGTGTTTTTTTTATTCAGTCATTATTTCATACTGACAAAAATGAAGATACATTGATGTGTTTCTCCTTTTATATAACAGAAATATGGTCGTCGGCCATCTTGAAACAAGAGAAAACTCAGTTTTTTGAGGAAATGGAAACTTATTGATTAACTAATTCATCATTAGTTGATCAGTAAATTCAACTTTAGATCTGTATTATTATTATTATTTATCAGGAGATTATAGTTATTCACAATACATGCATTTTGAAAAACTTGCATAACTCCTCTCCTCTCCTCTCCTCTCCTCTCCTCTCCTCTCCTCTC